CTTCTGCCAATGGCCATTATTGGCAGAGCCTGTTGCAATTCCGCATCTTTCTGGTTCCCTGTCTACCTAAACCATCATTTCCACACTCCACACAGCAAGCAGAGCATTTGATACCTAACAGGGGTTTAATGAACATCTACTGATTGCCTCCATGAGGAGGAACCATCCATATTCTCACCCTATTAAGGGCTGGGCTCTTTCCCAAAGACCCGCGGTAGCACATCTGTGACTAGGCCACATCTCAGGCTCCGGCTGCCCCACCCTGGCTCCAGGCCCCCAGGTCTTGTGTGACAAGTCTTTGAGCCAGACTGATGGTTTATGGCCCCAGCCAGGTGCCCAGCCCCAGGCCTTCCTCGAGCAGATGAAAAGGGGTGTCCAAGTCCAACACAGCCTGCAGAGCCTGCAGCACCTCCCCAGGAAGTCAGACTGAAGGGAGGGAGGTTCCTCCTCTTCCTCTTGAGAAGGTGGTAGCCATGCATCTTACAGGAACTGCTAGCCTCATTCTCCTCCAAACCAAACTCCAGTGTCCGGCAACTTCAGCAGCCCCTTAGAGTACCACCATTTCTCAAAACTGGAAAATCTGGTTCTCAGGGCTCACCAGGCCTCCTCACACCTGCCTGTCTTACCGCAGCCTGGGTGGCAGCCAGAAGCAGCCCCCACCTGCCTGGTCTGAGGCCAGCTGGCCTCTGCAGCCCTATTCCCCAGTCCACCTCTCCTCAGGCTTTGTCAATCACTTCGCCAACCAATGGGGCAAGGTTTGGAGAAGGAGACACATCAGATGCTCAGATAAAGCAGGGCTGGGTTCACTGCTGGGAGGGATGGGTGGGGCCCAAAGAATGCCTCAGCCCGGGCCGGGGCGATGGCTCATGTCTGTAATCCCAGCACTTTGGGAGTCCGAGGCTGGCAGATCATGAGGTCAGGAGATCAAGACCAGCCTGGCCAACATGGAGAAACCCCATCTCTACTAAAAATACAAAAATTAGCCAGGTGTGGTAGTGCCTGCCTGTAATCCCAGCTACTAGGGAGGCTGAGGCCGGGGAATTGCTTGAACCTGGGAGATGGAGGTAGCAATAAGCCGAGATCACGCCACTGCACTCCAGCCTGGGTGACAAAGCGAGACTCCATCTTAAAAAAAGGAATGCCTCAGCCTGAAGACATCCAGAGTTAAATCACTTACAGGGAATTCCTACTGTGTGGCCATTTTCCCTATATAAGCTGACATGGTGGGGTGGGTTGTTTGTTTTTTAAGTACTTTAACATCTACCCTTCATCCCCATACCCAGGGAGTACGGTAGGCAAGGAAGGCTACCTTATTCCACAGGTGAAGAGATTGAGCCATCATAGAGGTTAAGGTCAGACATCAAGGACAACACAACTCCCGTACACCCCTAAACAACCTTGGCTCCTGCAAAGATGGGTTTATATACTATGGCTTATCTCAAAGCCTATTGGGTAAAGACCATAGAAATTCTGGTTCCTCCAAATAACATTTACTGAGCACTCACTATACGCTAGGTGCTGTGCTAAATCCCTACATACATTGCTTCATTTAAACCTCCACACAACTCTATCAAGCAAGAACTATTATTATCCCCATTTCCCCATTGATATCATCAGGCACACAGCAGGTAAACTGACTTGCCAAGATCTCAACAGTCAACAGGGGGACCAAGATTTGGACTCACGGTGCACCCAGCACACATTTATCTGCAGAGTCTGGGACAGCCCCGGGATAGGTGGTTATCTGAACATAAAGCATTTCATTACCTTCCCCGCCCCCAAGCCTGAAGTTGGGAGCCACGCATGATGCCATTTATTCCATTTTTCAGAGACAGTTCTAGATCAGGCCACCTACAGCAGGCCTGCCCCTGTGCTCAGCACTAGGAATTCAGCAGAGAACAGGACAGGCTGGGTCCCTGCCTCCACGGACACTGCATGGGGTGAAGCTGGAAGGAGTGCAGAACAGGGAGGGGCCTAAGAATGGAGAGGACAGCCAATCCTCTCCTCTTTCTGGTTTTATTTCTACAAGGCATCACCCTGGTTTTGGATGTCCCATCTCTCCCCAGGTAAACTCTTTTACAGCAGATCCTCCCCTCTCTGTAGTCCTCCACCTTGACTGGTGGCCTTGGCTAGCTCCTGCAATGGCCTAGCTGTCCAGAAGGAAGTGCAAACAACATGTCCCCTCTTCCTGTGACCTACCCTCACCCGTCTGCTGAATGGAGATGTGGGCCTTATTCACAACCACCTCTTTTCACCTGCCAACACTGCCTCTCTGTTTCAACATCCATTAGCTCAACAAGTATTGATTAAGTTCCTACATGTAAAAGGCCGCAGGCTGGCACCTGTAGAAACACACATTAAACCAGAATCTTCAGGACTTGAGAAGGAAGAGAGAAAATAAAATTTAACAGCAGAAGCTACCATTTTACATATCTGTTCTCATCAAGCCAGCAAGGTGGGTATTAGCTCTTTTTTATAAGTAGGGAATTGGAGACTCGGAGAGGAACTTGCCCAAGGTCACAAGCCTGAAAATAATAGAGCCAGGATCCTACTCCAAGTTGACGCTCTCTCCAACTTGACCTACACTAGGTACACACATACACCTAAGAACATGAGCAAAATTACATAAGGGAGAAAACTGGGGGCCGCAGTCACCCTGAAAATAACAGCAGCTCCTAGGAAAAGCAACTTCAGAGCCCAGCCTCAAAGACCAGGAAGATTATGAAAGCTGGAAAAGGAGAGGAGTGCCTCTAATCCACGTGCTCTATCTGGAAGATAACTGCATTTTGTGTCTGGAGGCATGGCGACCAGCCCATGAACTCCGCACCGAAGCATTCTTTGAAAGAGGGACAAGCCTCGGCCAAGCCAGTGCAGCTCCTTGAGTCACGCCTCCTGCCTGCACAGACTTCTCCCTGCATCCACATCAGGCCATACTTTCACCAAGGAAGCATTTCTCAATGCGTCATTTAACCTGATTCCCCGGAAGAGTCCTGAGGGCTCCGTGGGCAGAAATGCATCCCATTTACAGAGGAGAAAACCTAATGAAAGTGCCACGAGAACGGGAGCTTGGTCTGTCTTGCTCAGTGCCCCATCCCTAATACCTGGAACTGTGTCTGGCCCAGAATGAGTTCTCACAAAGTATTTGCTGAATGATCTAATAATAAAAGCTCAATGAAATGGAAAGACTTGCCCAAAGTCTCACAGATAGCCATGGCTGCACCAAAGCTAAAAAGAGGGTCTTCTGCCTTCTACCGGGTGACCTTTGTATCCCTTTACACTGTGTCCTCCTCTTCCCTTCCTCACACTCACTCACTGCCTCCTCTGGAACCATCAGCCTCTGTCCACTGGTGGACTCTGGTCCCACACAAACCCCGCCTCCCAGTCAGTAGAAAGAGTGTCAAAAGCAACATGTTTACCTTAAGTCTTATCCCTCACCTGTAATACTACCTCCTTAATATCAACCTGCTGAGAACTAGGCAGGCCAGAAATTCTGCACACTGAGGCCCACGAAAGATAATCTAGAGAATTAACAGGAAACAAAAAAATGTGGATCTGAATCTTCAGAGTCAGGCCCAAAGCTCCATCTGTGTGGCCCCTCCATCAACCCCGCCCAAAGCACGTGTCCGCTCTCCTGGTTCCCAGATGCTCTGGCTCTGGCTGCCAGGCCCAGCTTTCCTGCCTCCCTTGCCAAGGAGGGACAAGTGAGGGGAAGGTGCCGGTCCCAAACATGGCTGCACCCCAGTCCCACCAAACACCAGTCTGGACTTGGAGCTAGTTACTTCCCCTCTCTGGCCCTGGTTTCCTCATCCTTGTGCGTGCCTGGCACATATCAGCAAATGCCAGCTCTTGGCACTGCTGAGTTTGCCTCCAGGATAACCCAATTTCCCAGACCACCTCTTCCTAGCTGGCTGCCCAAAGGCCTGGGGCACACCCACTGCCACCCAGGTCAGAGCCCTGGGAATCTATATTCTTCTCCCCAACTGCATTTAATATATTCATTCATTCAGAAATATTAAATACTATGTTCAGGCCAGTGCTCAGTGTCTGTCCCCCAGGAACTTGGTCTCACAGTCCTTTTCCTGGGCAGTTCCTGGGGCCTAGTTCCTGGGCAGCTCTGTTACTCCTGCCCCTCCCATGCACGAAGCAGGTGCTCCCTAAGCAGGGATTTCTCTTTGCTTCTAAACCCCAAGGAAGACCCCAGTCCACCATCCTAACCTCACTTCTAATTTAAAATCCATTCGCAAGAAGGCTTCACCCTGAAATTATTAAAGAGCCTTCTGCCTGGTGCCCCATAGGGATCTCCAAATTACCCACTCACTTTTCAGTTCCACCCACAGCACCCCCGGTCCCAGGAAATTAGCCAAGTGAGTGGGGGACTGTCTGCAGCTCCCCCAGTCCTCAGCTCCTACTAGGAAGATGACAGGAAGAGGGGGAGTTTAAGCAACTGGCACATTACAAAGAAATCAGTTCGAAGTCAGGGGACCTTCCCATGTCCGATGTAGATGACCGATGTCGCTGTATAGGGCCCAGCCCTGCATATAGGCCTTGGGCACCGTGGCCTAGGTCGTCCTGCTTTGAGGAAGCCCATTGTGTGTGTTTTAGATTACCTCTGCCTGTCTGATGAAGTGAGTAAAAGGGCTCGGTTTCAGGGCCTAGGATTCCTGAGTGAGCTAATACAGGATGCCTTTGGCTGAAAAAAAAACTTCAGTCGGCTCTATAAACTACCCCCCTTTTAAGTTTAAAAAAGGGAATGAATGTTACCATTTTTGGACATGAGCGTTCTCCCTCAAGCCCAGCCCTAACCGCACTATCCAAAGGGACGCGCCATCCTGTCCCCCCCACCCCAAACCCCA